AAATTTTGCCAAGGAAAAAGGAATAGTATTAAAACCAGCATATGTTCATGAGTTAAATGGCACTGCAGAAAGATTCAACCGAACAATTATGGATACAGCTAGATGTTTATTAAGTGAAGCAAAGATAGAAAGATGTTATTGGCCAGAGGTTATAAAAACTGCAGCATATTTGAAGAACAGAACCATAACTAATACTATAGAAAATAAAACTCCATATGAAATATTTTTTAACAGAAAACCTTCAACACAGAATTTAAAATTATATGGAAGCAAAGTGTTTGTAAGAATACCTGAAGAGAAAAGAGTATCGAAATGGGACAAAAAAGCTGAACTAGGAATATTACTAGGCTATACAGATACAGGATACAGAATTTTAATAAATAATAAATTAGTTACTGCAAGATATGTAGACATCATAGAAGAAGATATAAAATGTATAGGATTAGATGAGACAAAAGAAAGTTGTGAGTCAGAAGAAAATACACAGATCGAAAGTGAAAAGACAGCAGAAGAAATTAATGACAGTGATTCTAGTATTGAACAAGACATAAATATAACAGAAAGAAGAACAAAGCACAAATAAAAGCTCCATCACGATTTGATAATGAATTTGGATATTATTGCATAACAGCAAATTATTGTAACATTTTTATTCCAGATACTTTTCAGGAGGCGACTACATGTGAAGAGGCACAAAGTTGGAAAGGTCCAATGGATCAAGAAATTGATAGTCTTGTAAAGAACAACACATGGCAATTGGTAAACAAACCTATGAATAAAAGAATATTAGATGTAAAGTGGATTTATAAGAAGAAAGCAGAAGGATTATATAAAGCAAGGTTAGTGGTAAGAGGCTTTCAGCAATTAGAAAATGTAGAAGATACTTATTCACCTGTAGCTAATATACAAATATTAAAATTATTATTGTCTTATTGTTGTCAAAATTCAATACTTATACATCAAATGGATGTTGAAACAGCATTTTTAAATGGGAAAGTAATTTCAGAAGTTTATGTATATCAGCCATTAGGTTATGAGGATGGGACTGATAAGGTTTATAAATTAAATAAAGCTTTGTATGGACTCAAAGAAAGCCCACGAGCTTGGTATGACTGTTTCAATAATTTTATAACAACTTTGGGTTTCCGTAGATGCAAATATGATAATTGAATGAATGAATGAATGAATACTCTTTATTGCACTATTACAAAAAAAAACAATAAACATAAAACAGGAACGCAAACACAAAAGGCGGCCTTATTGCTAAGGTAGCAATCTCTACCAGGCAACCTTTGGCTAAATGAAACGATACCATAAGAATAGTAGAAACAGCGGGCTATGCATTGTAAAAATAAATTAATAAACGTAAATATAGGAAAATAAAATATAGAAAGTATATGGAAGCTATAAAATACAATACAAAGTAATGAACATATAAAAAGATCAGACAGAGTCCAGCTTGAGAAAATAATCCTTAACTTTAATAGCAAAGGAGTCCCTCGTCCGTGCACGTTTAATATCTAAAGGTAAAGAGTTCCACAATTTAACGGCTCTTACATAAAATGACTTGGCTACGAAGTCAGTGTAGTGGGGTGGGATAACTAAGGATAGGTTATGAGAAGACCGAAGGTCACGAACAGGATTAAATGAGTGAAAAGTGAAACGCTCCTTAAGATAGAGAGGAGTGTGTGGATGAAAGAGGATAGAATAAAGGAGTGATAGGATGTGACAGTCTCTTCTACGAGAAATGGGTAGCCATTGAAGTTGGGAACGATAATGAGAGATATGGTCGTACTTACGCAGACCGAAAATGAATCTAATACATAAATTCTGCAGACGCTCGAGTTTATTAAGAAGAACAACACTAAGGTCAGGGTAACACGCATCGGCATAGTCCAGCAACGGGAGAAGAAGGGACTGTGCAAGAGAAATTTTAGTCTTGGTCGGCAACAGGTTTTTCAGGCGCTTCAGTGAGCCATACGCACCAAAAACTCTCCTACTAACTTCACCAACATGGTGACTCCAAGACAAGTTACTGTCAAATGTCAATTGTTTATATGTTAAAATACATAATAATATTGAGATATACATACTATTGTTTGTCGATGACTTATTAATTTGTTGTAAAAATATAGAGTTATTAAAGGAAATAAAAGGTCTACTATGTAACAAATTCAAAATGAAGGATTTAGGAAACGTTAATAAATATATAGGTATAGAAATTAAGTATGAATACAATGATTATTCAAATAAAAATACTATGACCTTAAGTCAAAAGGAATATATAGAGTCATTATCAAATAAATATAATATAATAAATTCAAAACTATATAAAACACCTATGGAAATGAACCTAAAAGTAACGAAAGATAGTGTAAATGAAAATGTGAAATATAGAAACTTAATAGGAGCACTTTTATACATAAGTTGTGGAACTAGACCTGACATTATCATTCTCTGTAAACTATTTAAGTCGTTTTCAAAACTGTTACAATGAAACACATTATAAGTATGCCCTTAGAATTTTGATATATTTGTATGGAACTAGAGAACTTAAGTTAACCTATTATAAAAGTAATAATGATATTATGGATTGTTTTGTTGATGCAGATTGGGCAGGAGATATTGTTGATCGTAAATCAACATCAGGTTTTGTAATAAGATTATATGGAAATGTAATTTATTGGAAAACAAAGAAACAGTTAAGTGTTACTAAATCATCTACCTTTTCTGAATATGTAGCATTATCAGAATCTGTTACTGAAATACTATTTTTGTTAAACATAATAAATGATGTATTTGTTAAAGTAAACTATAAAGATATATGAAGATAATTCTGGAGCATTATGTATTGCTAAATATGGTAACTTTACAAAGAACTCTAAACATATAGAAATACACTACCATTTTGTACATGAAAATTATATAAATGAAAAAATAGATATTATTAAAATAGCTTCAGAAGATAATATAGCTGACATTCTTGTCATTGGGAACTGAAAAAATTGTGAAGTTTAGACAGTTATTGAAATTAATCTAGATTTGTTGTTAATAAGTATAACAAAATTAATATGAGGAAATATGTGTAATGTTCTTATAATTCTTATATAATGTAGAAAGTAAATAATATTGTAAATCTATTAGACTAGACACAAGAAGTTTAAAGTTGTTAAATGGTTAAGGATAAAGGATACTAAATAAAAATTTAAGTTTTTAATTAATAAATAAGTAAGTACTTAAGTAATAAATAAATATGTAAGTAAAAAGAAAAATATAATATTGCAAGAAGGAACATAGAGAAATAAAATAGTAAAAGTAAGGAGGCGTGTTAAGTATGGTATACTTTTATATATTTTATTTCTATGGCAACACTGTTCCTTCCGGTGACATTACTGTAACTTTACGTTTGTGCTCTTCAATATAATAAAAACAAATGAATAAAACAAATCCAGTTTTATTGCCAGTAATTCATAATTAACAGTTATACCAATATGTTAAACTGGTTACATAGAAAATAAAATTAAAAATTTAATGTAAAACGCTGGTGATGTGTTGGCTTGCAGTGCTAGCAATATTAATAGTATTGTTAGCACTGCAAAGCGCAAAAGCAAAAGTAAAAATTTTGCTCTTATAATTACGTTGCAGCCGTCGACCAAAGGATGTTTGGCGACTACCATAGAAATAAGCATGTATTTAGATTTAAGTCTTAGTTATAATGAACAAACATAATAATGGACTCTTCAATCACAACTTCTCACACAAGAATGTATAAAATTCATTCAGGAGCCGTACTCGGCGCCTATAAGTAAGTATGTGTGCGGAGTTTTGATTGAAGAGTAATAAGTAACATAGCAAAAGGTAATAATCTAGTAAAACTTATTGTGTAAGAAGTAATTGTTGAAATGTAATGGAGCGAATTTAATTAAACTAACAAAATAAACTTAAAAGAACAAAGGTGCGGACCTAGAGTCTGCAGAAAGCAACAACACCCTGTGATGGCGGGTGCTTCTAATAAAAAAAAAATAGGTCAGTATCAATACTTAGATACTTATTTTTTTTATAATCTGCCATAATTCCAGTATTTGATTAATGGAGCTCTTTGTAATCTAGTTCCTCTATACAAAAAAACAACTATGCATAGCACTTTTGAGAAGGCAACCATGTATTATTTTCTATCATTATTATCCATAATTATTTATATAGGTAGAGATAAATTGTTTTCTTATATTATATCTTAGACTATAGGGAGCGTTCAAGTATTACGTAACGCAATGTAGAGTGGAGGGCGGGTCTTGTAAAACGTTACGGTGCGTTATAGGCCGGGTATTTAAACATCACGTTTCGTAACATTTTTTAATAAAAAAACTAGGGAATTAGAATGTTCCAAATCGGCAACACTTTACGTTTATGTTTTACGGGGAATCCCTTGATTGTACTGTACGTTACTTTTATTTTTGTTTTCCTTAGTTGGCAACCGTTTTCGTTTATGTTTTACGGGGACTCCCTCGATTGTATTGTACGTTAGGTACTTTTATTTTTTTTCCTAAGTTGGCAACCTTTTCGTTTATGTTTCGGGGAATCTATCGATCGTGTGTACGTGATTTTTATTTCATTATCGATGTCAGTATTCATTAGAGTTTACACAGATGCACATTGCTGTTGTCAGTGTTGTTAAAGAGTAAGTAAATACCGTAATGTCCTCGAAAGCGGGAGATTTGCATCATCAGCTGTTCTTGGCATATAAAAGCTGTCATACTAACTTGCCAGCACAATTGTGCCAAAAAAATGCCAACGCAATTTGGAAAACGGTTGAAGAAAAACTAAAAAACGAAGAAAGTTTATAGAACATATAAACGATGTTATACAAGGAACAAGGTGGTCACGAAGAAAGAAGCAACAATGCTTAGTTATTTTATACAGGTAAGTTTTCTGCTTAAATGTATATTAATTACATACATACATACAAAAAAACTGGTCATAAGTATTACACATTTATTTTAGCTACCTATGAAAACATCAAGCACGCCAGTAACATTAATGTCAGCAAGGCCTAACGTCCCAATAAACGATGTTATACAAGGAACAAGGTGGTCACGATGAAGAAAGCAACAATGCTTAGTTATTTTACACAGGTAAGTTTTCTGCTAAAATGTATATTAATTACATACATACATACAAAAAAAACTGGTCATAAGTATTACACATTTATTTTAGCTACCTATGAAAACATCAAGCACGCCAGTAACATTAATGTCAGCAAGGCCCAACGTCCCACATTACTAAAACAGATGCACTTATGTACTTTTTTAGTACACCTGTTTGCGGAACGAAATAAAACTAATAGATTGATCTAGTGGAAAAACTCCGAAGAAGCGATTTTTTTTTGTTTCCTCCCAGGCGGGGGAGCGGGTGAGAAATCCTCATGGATACCCTACAGCCGGCTGCAGGGTTATGTCAGACTCTTACTGACTAAAAAAACACCCGTTGGGACTGCCTCTGGCCGGGAAGGCCTTTAAGGCTTCATCGGATGCGATGCAGAGCGATTTATTAAAGTCTAACGGCTTCTATATAATGATACGCAACAAGAGGATAGCGCGAGTCATAATCGTACAGCGCCATCTATCGCCGCACGGCGTTAACACATATCTTAACAACACCTTATCCTCTAGTAATTCTTAAAATCATCCAGTGAGTCTGGACGCCCGCGACTTCGTCTGCGTTAACTTAGTTTCTTGAAAATCCCTCTGGAACCTAACATTTTTCGGGATAAAAGTAGCCTATGTGTTAATCTAGGGTGTCAGCTAACTCCATACCAAATTTTATTAAAATTGCTCCAGCCCTTTAGACGTGAAGAAGTAACAAACATACACACACATACTCACACACTCATAAACTTTCGCCTTTATAATATAAGTGTGATTGTACGTACCTAGATAACAATTTTACGTCGATTTTACTAAATAAAAAAATGGTATATCCGAATTTTTAGAACGGTTTTCACACTAACCTGCTATACAGGGTAAATTTTAAATCCCATCAATGAAAGCAACAACATTTGATATACGACATTTATCTATACTGGATGTTGTTCGTAACCGTAGGTAATATAAAGATTTAAAATTTGAATCCAACTCTTAATTTTCATTACTCATCTGTCATATTTTGCTAACTTCGGTTTAACTAAGTATCATTTGAGCGCTTATGAAAAAAAATTATTTTAATCCTTGTATGAAAAACAGAAAGAATAAATTTCGAAAAGTCGTGAAACAAAAGTTGATATTTTTAGTGATAGGTATTACGGGCCGCTTTCTAGTGAATTAAAATTAATTAACCCAGTATTTATGTGAGAGTATATATATTCTTTATCGCATGTCTCAATAATACCTATTTTCATATAGGTATTTCAATTTATTTATAGGATTCGGATGTTGCACCCGCGTATTCATCTGATAAGGAATCGATTGTTGGAGTCGCTAGAATAGAGAGCACAGCCGTCAAACGAATGCTGAGCGATACTCATGGTAAGCGAAGTGATACTACTGATGACGAAGTTATGGACAACTTGGACATCTTATTTTCGGAACCACACACGACTACGATTATTTCGGATATTACAAAAAATCTTCCAAACAAACCGGCTCAAGAAACTCTTAGGTAAATGCAGGCAGTAATAGCAGGAATTAACCTGCTTCAACAGAGAATAAATAAATGGTCTTACTGAAGCAAGGGACATTGGTATAGCCAAAGATGATGTTGACGAAGAAATAAACAAACTATGGAAAGAATTGAAAGAAGATTAAAAAACGAAGAAAGTTTATAGAACATATAAACGATGTTATACAAGGAACAAGGTGGTCACGAAGAAGAAAGCAACAATGCTTAACTTTTTTACACAGGTAAGTTTTCTGCTAAAATGTATATTAATTACATACATACATACAAAAAAACTGGTCATAAGTATTACACATTTATTTTAGCTACCTATGAAAACATCAAGCACGCCAGTAACATTAATGTCAGCCAGGCCTAACGTCCAAATAAACGATGTTATACAAGGAACAAGGTGGTCACGATGAAGAAAGCAACAATGCTTAGTTATTTTACACAGGTAAGTTTTCTGCTAAAATACATTTTACTTTTATTTTTGTTTTCCTTAGTTGGCAATTAATATACATATTAATTACATACATACATACAAAAAAAACTGGTCATAAGTATTATACATTTATTTTAACTACCTATGAAAACATCAAGCACGCCAGTAACATTAATGTCAGCAAGGCCCAACGTCCCACATTACTTAAACAGATGCACTTATGTACACTTTTTTAGTACACCTTATCCTCTAGTAATTCATATAATCATCCAGTGAGTCTGGACGCCCGCGACTTCGTCTGCGTTAACTTAGTTTCTTGAAAATCCCTCTGGAACCTAACATTTTTCGGGATAAAAATAGCCTATGTGTTAATCTAGGGTGTCAGCTAACTCCATACCAAATTTTATTAAAATTGCTCCAGCCCTTTAGACGTGAAGAAGTAACAAACATACACACTCACATACTCACACACTCATAAACTTTCGCCTTTATAATATAAGTGTGACTGTACTTACCTAGATAACAATTTTACGTCGATTTTACTAAATAAAAAAATAAATTTCGAAAAGTCGTGAAACAAAAGTTGATATTTTTAGTGATAGGTATTACGGGCTGCTTTCTAGTGAATTAAAATTAATTAACCCAGTATTTATGTGAGAGTATATATATTCTTTATCGCATGTCTCAATAATATTACACATTTTCATATAGGTATTTCAATTTATTTATAGGATTCGGATGTTGTACTCGCGTATTCATATGATAAGGAATCGATTGTTGGAGTCGCTAGAATAGAGAGCACAGCCGTCAAACGAATGTTGAGCGATACTCATGGTAAACGAAGTGATACTACTGATGAGGAAGTTATGGACAACTTGGACATCTTATCTTCGGAACCACACACGACTACGATTGTTTCGGATATTACAAAAAATGTTCCAAACAAACCGGCTCAAGAAACTTTTAGGTAAATGCAGGCAGTAATAGCAGGAATTAACCTGCTTCAGCAGAGAATAAATGGTCTTACTGAAGCAAACGACATTGGTATAGTCAAAGATGATGTTGACGAAGAAATAAACAAACTACGGAAAGAATTGAAAGAAGATGAAAAATGTTTAAAGATTAAAAGAGACAGTGCCAAGCGTGCAAAAAAAATTCTAGCCAAAGAAAAACTAGAGAAATCTGAACAATCCTGCAGCAGTAAAACCTCGATCTAACCCTGGCCAGCCCCCTTTGGTTGACTTGCAACCAGGTCCCCTGGAGACCACTATTAGCATTGCCATTCATAGCAGCGCTGCTGATGAACGCCGCCGAACAGAGATGATTAAAAGTTGTCTCACTCTGGACGACCTGCATGAAAGGCTGTTATTGATGGGATTCTAGCAGTTCGAAGCAGCACGTATCTCCATTTACTCCTACGCGTTTCTAACACTCAAGAGGGGAGGAAGCGTGTACGCACCGTACCGTTGAAGTTACCAAGACCACAGACCGAGACCGACACTTCTTGTGAGTTTTTCCGTTGATCTATCGCCTCCTCTTGAAGGTTTGAAGCAAACGCCTTACGATTTTTATTGTCCATCAGTACAATCCGATCTCAGGAACAGAATATGTGCAACCTGTGGGATTTATTTCACATCCCAAAAGAGTGTGCAAACACACAGTCGTTACGTGCATGGCAAGACTACCCAAAACCCTCGTGAAAGTAGAGTACGGTCACAGCGACTTGCTGCCAGAAGGGCAAATGAGCTGCTCTACATTGTGCGCCATAGTGAAGCATTGTCTGAGGATGCCGATTGGCTCGATGTAGACGAAGTTGATGCAAGTTGTTTAACAATACCGGAAACTTCTTCGTCTGCTCTCCGAATACCAGTAATGAAAGAGTCTGAGTGGCTGGCAAACCCGTGAACAGAGGAGCAGTAGTTTCAATTAAATTGTGTTTTTACGTACCTACACTTATTTGATTCCCTTTCTCAAATCTCTTCTTTTATTTATTACTACTTCAAACGCAATTAATACATTAACAAAGGTATTATACTTTGTTCAAGATAATATTGTGACTTTAATGGTCACGCAAATGTTACGTAACGTTTAGGGAGGGGGAGGGACGGGTACAGAAAAACGTTACAGTGCGTTACACGGGGGGGAGAGAGGGTCTAAAATCTTTAAAAATGGCGTTACATAATACTTGAACACTCCCATAGGCACAATGGGTGCTCATACAGGAAATAATTCTCGTTAATTTAATCTAATTAGGTACCTATCTTGGAAGCAGGGCAGGCGAGGCTGTGGCCCAAGGGCCTCCACAACAGAGATAAATAATAACCGAAATAAAAAGAAATGGGTCACCAACCGGGAAGGGTTGCACAGTTGTATTAGTTTTTAAAACAAAATATCGTTTGTTATAAAAACTTGCAGTTAAATGTTTAAAATCCAGGTATATGTAAAATTATAGGTAAAAAACTAATAATATTAATAATGTACTTAACTGTTCAAATGGAAATAAATAAATGTGAATTAAGTTCCATTGTTGTTATTTTTAAAATCAACATTTACTAATTACTGTTACGTGTCAAAAAACCTGTCATGTAGGTACGAAATTTAAATGGTTAAAGTAAAAAAAATATACCTACTTTTTGATGAGATGAGAATGACTTTTTATCTGCAGTTTTAAAGAAATATAAAATTAGCTGTCAGAGTAATGTTTGATAGAGTAATAACTAAAGACATAGAGGGAGTTTCAGAGATCCAAGTAACGGATATATGGCTACCTCTTTTTCTCGTATATGGCAGCTTTGTAGTTGATAAAAAGAGAGAATGCTCCTTTTGGCAAGATATCACTGGATGTCATATTCAATTTCCGTGTTTCAAGATTATCAACGACATGAATATTGGAATAAATTTAATTTAATTTAATTTTTTTCAACACACACCAATTAGCCTAGCCCCAAAAGTAAGCACTGTAAGGCTTGTGTTATGGGATACTAGGGTAACGGATAGAATAAATATACTGTATATACAGGGTTACAGGGAAAATCGTACTGAATATTAAAGGAGGTTATTATTCAGGTCATTACTGATGGATTTGGTCCTATAACATGGTGTCCGAAACTTTACTGTTAAGGAGATATTTAGATTTGAAGTTTTTTTTAAATAATCCTTAATTTTTTGACTTTTCATCGATTTTTTTGGGATTAGAGCTCCTAGGGTCCGTTTTATGATTTATTTAGTTAGAAGACACATCACTTAATCAAATTGATTAATAAAAAAAACTGAACCTACTACTAACAAATGGAAAAAGAACTGCCCAAAAACGGTTAGAGTGAAAAAAATAACTAAGTATTTCTAACTTTGAAGAGCTTTTTTTAGTATATTATAAATGTTAAAGTTTGTATGTAAAAACTGAACACATTTGGGATGGAATTTATGGTACGCATATAGTTTATGACCTGAAGCTCGGCCACGAATTTTGACAGCTCCGTAATCGTATCGTTATCGTCAAATTTTGTCTGGAAGAAGCCAGTTTGTTCTTACGTCCGGTTGAAGCGTTTTACTTAGTTTGTAGTTTTCAGAGAAACATACATCAACGGTAAAAAAGTATATAAACGGTTGGGTAATGCAATAAATATATATTTGAAACATAAATATTTTTGGCAATAATTCAACTATTATTAAATGGTGATCACAAACAAACGGGCAAAGTTGCCACTTACTATGGTACCTAAGGATTTTACTTTTATTTTTTACAGACTAAAATTAATATATTTTTTATATTCGGCTAACGACGCTTGAGATACGGTGATGTGGCCTAAGCTTCGCTTCACATAATCTTGGTAGACTTCTTTGGAAGCCTTGGAGACAGTGGGTGGAATCACGTCTACAGAGCTGTCTATTGTAAAAGCGCTGCTAACCGTCATTATCACGTGGATGTCAGACTTGTATTTCGGATTTGATCTTCGCTCAAAGTTGACATAGCGTTTGTACCTTAAATGAAAAATGTGCAATGTCAGCAGAAAAAATGGTTATCTTAGATGTTGCTGTTCAAGATCCTATCAATATAAGTTTAGAACGATAAGACATAAAAAAATATGTTAGAGCCAAAGAATTACAAATTCCTAACTAAATTTATGAAAATAAGTAGGTGATTTAGAAAAAAGATCTAATTATCTTACATAAGCATGTCCCGTTTTCCAGGTTCGTTAAGTAGTATCCTGTTGGAACGCTTTATGGCTGGAAACATTGGAGTTTCTTCAGGTTCGTCGGCTTCGGCTAGAACTTTGGACAACAACGCGAGTGGCGAAGGCGTGACCTGGCGACTTGGTGTGGTGCTCGTCACTTCATCATCCGAAGAAGAGTCACTATTAGAGCTAAAGAGAAAGAATAAACTTAGATTAGAACTGAATACCTGCTTTATGTATTCAGTTACAATTTTAATGGGTTTGTAAGGGACAATACTAAATGCTAAAAACCCAAGCCCGATAGAAACAAAATATATCACAGATTTTTAGTATTAATAAATGAAAAAATATTGTATAGGTGGGTGGTCATCAAAATCGATGGCTAAATGAGTGAAATTGCTGTTTTTATTTGGCAGGATGGAAAAAATCCAAATCCCAATCTCCGATTTTAGTATTATGAAATGAAAAAAATTTAAGATGGCATTATCAAATTATCATCAATATTTAAGGAAATAGTTATTTATGATATTAGTGCGGTAAGTTGGTTATTACAAACGAGTAGACGAACGTAATCCCGTGAGGAAGTCGAGGGTTTTCCAAAGTTACGTTATTTGTAAATACCAATTCCGCACGAATATCATAAAACGTTTTTTAACACATTTGCGAGAAAACAATTTAATTTTTAAATAATGAAGCAAACTTTTTCTAATAAAAACATGGCGCGCATTTCTGCCTCGCGCTACATGCTAGTAGTGAAAATTAGAACTACATATTTCGGCTCTTTTTTTGTATTAAAGTGAGAGAAACGTATAGACCAGAAGTGCTTCCAAGGAGGTTCGATCGAAATAAAAAAAAACCTGAAGAATACGCACCGTGCCATATAGCGGAGCGTGCGGTAAAATCTTACCGCACTCTTTGTTGTATGGTGCGTAATTTTGAACTTTCGAACAATGTATACAACTTCCGTAAAGGCATTCTTTTAGCAAGTATGTTGAAAAATAAATTAACACATGCCAAATAAAAGTAGCAAATTTCACTAATTTAACCATCGATTTCGATGATGCCACTTTACAATATTTATTCATTCAATAATACTAAAAATCAGAGACATAATATTTCGTTTCTGTCGGGCCCAAGAAGCTTATACTCAATATGGAGCCTGCACGACGAATAAAAAAGTGAATACCAAGAAGTTGACCTTGAATGACGTAACTGTTCTTTGCTATCTCTCTTACTCAAGAAGCTTTCTTGCTCTTACTCTTTAGATGGAGTAGCCATATAGAAGGCTAATTTTTGGAAATAATATTATACGCTATAGCAGTGGTCTGATTTCTTGACATCAACAAGTTTTAAAATACAATAAAATAGCTTTATTTCATAAGTAATATGATTTTATGCCTTTCAATAATCTACTGATCTATACATTCATTTACATTATTTCTTTGTTTTACTTCCTCTTCTTCTTTTTATGGTGACTTGCGTTGTGACTTACCACAGCTCCGCCAATTTCAAGTAATTAGCCATTACACGTAGGGGAATGACAGTTGAAATTCATAATTTTTGTTATTATATACTCTTTTACCTATACCTAAAGAAGTTATCTTTCTTTATGACGGTAACACGTAAAAGTATCGTCCATAAACCGACTTTATAGACAAGCAATGTTTTATTGTTATTTTTCACCTTAAAAACCAAGGTTTAGATAGAATACTGTGTTTATATCGACGTAGTATTTATCAACACGATCATTAGTCTGAAGCCAATGAGTTTCCCAATTCCTCAAAGTTATGGTAAGTCTGACGACGTATTATTGCAACACTAACAGCAATATGTCAAACTTTGTAGTGGCTGCTGTCATGCGAATATCATACGCTTCGAAAGTTTCCTTCGGTTTTATTTAATAATTAAGCAGTATTTTGGTGTGTGTAATGTGTGGAGTCCAGGATCAAGCGTTAAATTCCACAGGTATTTTATTAAGAGCCCTTTCACATTTTTTGCAATAAATCGCAATTTCTGAGCGCCTCGTTTGCCCCCTTATAAGAGATTTTGACTACTTCCAATAGAAGTAATCAGTAGATTTATTCTTCCTATTGAAAATTAATGTAGAATATTTTCAAATACTATTTCCATTTTTTTGTACTGATCGTTCTACCGCAGCTAGTTTACGGAAAAAACGATAATATGCACAACTAAAAACGCCTTAATCTCACAATAATGTTCAATAAATTAGATCAAATTAATTACTACGACACCAGAAATATGTTTTTGTTGCAACATAATGTATTAGAATCTTGATTTTCCATCTCATTAATTATTAAAAAAACATCTAACCTCCGTGAGTTTCCTCAAAAAATAACGCAGGTTTACCTCGTATTTTGATATTGAATTAAATAGAATTACTATCAAAAACTGTCATAAAACTAATCTACAATCATTGAATTACTGAAATATGTATATAATTTTATAATAATTTCATTAATTATTATTTTATAAGACTCTGAACATCACCCGTAAAATGCAATATATAGTAGTGCAAATCAAGACGCCGTTCAGTACGGCGCCAGCGCCTTTGGAGGTTGGACCTGTGTCGCTTTGTACCGCACGCGTTCCGAGCGATGCTACGAGTGCATTCATCGTAAAACTGGCTGGATATACTACGACCGCAAAAGTTTAATCGTTGACTGTATGTAAGTATCCACAACCGTATTAAATTTTATTATCATAAGTACCTACCTAGTTATTAATTTCGTTGCTTCAACTAATATTTTTGTTATAAGCTTTTACAATGGGGCGTAAAATTCCTACTTACCATTGTGTCAAAAAAAACGAAAGATTGATGCAGCCATAAAGAAAGCTTGTGAAGCAAGGTGAATATGCTTATAACATTTCGTTTTTTATTTTTGTGGTTTCAATGGGTGTTTTAATTGTATAAAAATTGTGATTTGTCCGGACTTTTCAAGTATCATTGGTATAAAATTGTAATCAGTCAAGGTACTGTACTCTAATGGCCAACGATTTTAACTTACTGACTTAATGGGTATGTCAATCTATCCTTATGTCTATAAAAAAAGCTAGAGTTCGGTAAAATTTTGCATTTCGATCAAGTATAACAAGTATAAGCTCGTGGGCCGCCAAAGTACATATTGGCCCAACATAAAAATATATTTAGAATAGAAATCCACAGTTCTATGTATTTTAGATGGAAACAAAATTTTAATCAAAATTAAAACCCGAAAATATTGAAATTATATTGACCATAAGTTCAATGGATTCGATTGCAACGGAAACTGTAAGTTTTTCATGTTGTTATTGGAAGTAGACAATGAAAAGAGAAATTGAAATTATAATAATAAATTTAATTATATAGGAAAAAAATGCTGTTGGATTGGAAATCGAATCCGAGGAACAAGGGGAAGCGTCAAACTCTAATTTAAATATTTTATTTGTTTCATACTGAATTAATAGGTATTTCACTACTACACTAGGTACATGGTTTACAATGTTAGCATTTTGGTTTTTTGTTTTAAACTTAAACTAATGGGATGCATTTCTAGAGCAAAAAAGTTTATTTTTAATAGTCTATATTTAGACTTCTTTGCTCCATAAGTTCAATTGACAGTAACTTGCTGATTTACGTACCATATCTGTGTCTGGATTGGAAATGTATTTCCAGTGTTGCCTATATCTGTTTATATGCGTAGATAGTCGATAAAAGCAGTATTGTAGTCAATTAGATAATCTGTTTTCAGGAGGAGTATATGGTTGATGGAGGACGTGTAATGATACCAGGACATTTTGCACTTGGAAACACCAGACTGGGTGTTGGACCGTCAAATGTCAACGTATCAATATCACCTCAGCTGAAATAAGAACTTATAGAATTGACAATGAGCGAGGAAATTTCAGATGTTGTTATTATAAGTATTTTGTTTATTATCGTCATACTTTTATTAAAATTAAATGTATTGTGGCCCTTTGTCACCGTAATAATCCACAAACAATAATATATTATTATAGATAACTATAATATAACCTTCATTGTAATTTACGAAAAACAAAACATCAATCATCAGTTTCAAAAAGAGACAAACATTGTATGTGATACGTTATACTACCAGACTGCTTCCGGTTATGATAGCATCAGTGATGATAATCTTTGATAACACTGATGAGTAATTAATTGTATAGAGAATAGCAGATTTTATTGAATGTGCTTTACAGCAGCTAGTGATGGAAGAGGTGTGAACTTTCCCAGCTCCGTTTTCATATTATTTATCCTGAAATTACCATACGAGAACTCGCAGCAAAAATTTCATGAGTTAGGTGTGTAAAAGATGAGTTCCTATGAAAGTTAAATGCTTTTAATGGGTTTTGTTTAAATGAATGGAAATTACACGAATACAAAAAAACATGCTTTTTATTTTTTTATCAAATACTCTTGCAGATATATTGAAAATACAGAGTGCGAAAACTTTTTTATTAAATGAACTACGAAGGCAAAGACAGAACTACACTTAGTACAGTTTTACTGAGATATTTGATTATTACCAAACATCAATCATCATTAAAAAAGTCAATACTAAAAATACAAGTAAATAAAATATTATTTCTCATTGCCACTCGAAAAAGGGATTTTATTCAGCGATAACAGTGAACAAACTTTTCATTTAATTACTGAGTGAATAAAAAAATTTGAACAAACAGAAGTTATGCAAATCAAACATATAAAGTTACAATAATTAGTAATAATCATAATTAATCTTTATTGTCATTTCCAAAACGCAACCAATGGGTACTATAAATATATTATTTATTTTCTCACAATAGTAAAAAAACTTAATCCTTGTATCCTTTGCTCCACTCAGGATTCCTATCTAGAATCGATCGTTGCTACAGTAGGGATCCATCTTAGCACTTTAAATTAACTTTATTTTATATTTGCATTTATTGTATAATCAATAATTGCATATTAAAGTATCAATTTGGTAAAGCGCGCTATACTGAACTTCGCCGCTTCGATGTCTCGCTCGTGCGACTCGGGCACGCTCGCGGTCATATTTACCTAAACTAGAGCGGCGCAATTTTGTAAAAGGTATCTTAAATCAATATTATTACTCGATAAGTTCTCTTTCATAACCAAGGCTTATTTCACGTCTATTTTGAAACTTTCTTAGGAGATAAAAGCATTT